AACTACACTCTAAATCGATAGGCTATTAAGCTTCCTTTATAAGTTACTATTTTCCTTAAATAATTAATATAGCTATTAATTACATTCTAAATCGATAGGCTAATAGGTTTATCCAGCCTCCTTATAATTCTTAAAGTATAACTTAAATACTCAAAAAGTTTATTTTTTTACTCTTTATTAATAAAAACATCCTTAATAAATATTTTCGTAGAAGTTAATTTCTAATAAATTAAGACTTTTACTTCTTATTATTAGATATTTATATCCTCGAATATCCTTAAATTGCAATTATAAATAAATCCTACTATTCAAGCCAATACCTATATAGCCTATTGATAATTCTAGTTAAATATTACTATTATATAAATAAAGTGTCACGATGCCGACCAGAAGGGACTTGGAGAAGACGTAATATTGTACAAAGAGAAGAAGATTAAAAGAGAGCAGCGAAAACTCTACTCTCGGACTATATATATAAACTAAGTAGAGGTATAACTAAGGGACGGCTGGACTTCGGTGCCGGGACGCTAAGGGTACCAAGTTATATTATATAGTATTATAATAGTACCCGGGCTTCTAAAATGCAATTAACCTTAATTATAAATAAAATAAGTATACCGGAAGCCTTACATTTCTTTACCGTTGTAGCACCGCCGTAGTCTTAGGTTATTAAAGTATATTTGGGTTTATACGTTGCTTACCGGGGTTTATTACCCCTAGTAATAATTATAATAGTAGAACGCTCTAAGAATAGTAGTATATTAATCCTAATTCGTCCCTAGTAGTATAGGGCCTATACGTTGTATATTCCTCCTACTTCCTTTCTCTTCCTTTCTTCCTCCTCCTTCCCTCCCCTCTTTTATTTCTTCCTTTCCTTAATAATAACTATACTCTATTACTTCCTCCTTTATTAGTATATTACTATCGAAACTCCTATACTTCGCTCCTAAAAATCTATTACTCCTATATTATTACTTTAAATAAAATAAGAATACTAAGAAAAAGTTGTATAATATAGTACTAAAATAATTAAGGGCTATACTATTACTTAAGAGGTAATTCTAACGACTCTCGTACTGGAATTTAGGTATATACCCTACTTATACTACTATAATTTTAATATTGAGATTAATAGCGCCGAACCGTTTAAGATTCTATACTTCCTTCCCCTAGGGAAGAAGAAGAAATATTACTATTATTATATTTTTAAAAATAATTAAAACCCTATAAATTATTTTATAAAATTTTTAATTTAGTATTTCGCTAACGAAACAAAACTATTATACTTATAATTAGTAATTATTCCGACGCTTCTACTTTAATCTATTAAGTTAATTCCTTTTAAAAGAAGGAGGAGAATGGCGAATTCGTTTAAGAGGAGGTGATTCGTATAATTATCGTTATTAAAATGAAGAAATTATTAGAAAATTTCGTAATTATCGAGGAGGATGTCCGTAGTAACTATAGTCTAGTCGGTATTAAGAAGGCTACTAAGAAAGCGGTAAGTAAGGGGGTACTAGAAAAGTATTACTAAGGGTATAAGGCCGAAATACTAATATTATATTAGCATATTAAAGTTTATATTACTATTAATTTATATTATAATATATTAGCAATTATTAGTAATTTATATTCCGCCTTCAATATATTAGCGAGTAAACACTATATTTAGGCCGAAGATATAAAATTTTATTTATTAGAAGGCGACTCTAGCTTTATTTAATAGTTAATAGTTAAATTCTAATTCCATTCTAGTATCGAAGCGGAGGTTTTTCGCCTAGCTTCTATTATTGAAAATCCTACCCCTAAGAGAATAGAGGAATTTATCAGTTGAACTATATTTAATTATTCTTCTTAGGTTTAAAATATAATAGGCCTATCCTACTTATAGTATATTATTATACTAATCCTAAGGTAGTAGTATTATAAAGATAGGAATTTAGGTCTTAGGGTTTTAATTATAGAAATTAATTAAAGTAATTATACCGGGGTTCCCTAATAATATTAATAAAAAGGTAGTATAATTGCGGCGATTCGCTATTAAATACGTTAAAAAATGGTTTTATACTTTATAAAAAAACGTAAAAATTGTAAAAACCGTATAGAATAATTGTAAGAGAAAAAATTGTAATAATTTTTATTAAATTCTTCGGGCTAGAGTTAAATAAAAGTAACCTACTAAGTTAATAATTTTAAAGTTGTATTAATTATTAATTTAGGGCTCCTATAGTAGATAAGGGTATTTTAGGGTTCCTTTAACGCTTCGGTCTCGTTTTATTGTAGTTAGGGGCCGGGTTTTTTTAAATTCTTATAATAAAAGTCTTTAATATTATTAATATTTATTTAGAAGTCCTTTACCGGACGCTAATTAGAATAGTAGAGTTTCGGCTATTTAATCTTATATTCGAAATCGCTATCTTTATCTTACTAAGAGTCTAAAATATATTCAAAATATTACTTTTCTTCCCCGGGGTTAATAAGGGAAGCTACTATACTATAGGCTCACTAATTTAAAGTATTATTAAATACATCCTAATTTAGGAGGCCCTCCTAGTAGGGGCGGATAAAAGAGGTATAAAAAATTAGGAAAACCCTATATAAAGCATTTATAATAATAGCGATAGTTTGGGGGTATACTTTCTCGATAATAAAAGGGCCTATCTATTTATTAAAGAGTTTAGCGATTAATCTACCCTAATTTTAATACTTTATATTAACCTAAATTTTATTACTTATTTTATATTAGGGTACGTTAAATTAATATATATTAGTATAGTACTAGTAATATTTCTAAGCCTCCTTTATAAATAGCCGGGCTCTAGTAATAATTCTATTTACCCGTTCTTTAATACTATATATATTAAATAGCTTTTAATATTATACTATTAATATAGGGCCGGCCCTATAGTATAGTAATTTAATACTTATCCTCGGGTACTACTTATAGTTAATAAAGAATAGAGAGAGGCTAATAGTTTTAGAAATGTAATTATTAATTATAAATTCTATTAGGGGTAATTATTATAACTAATCGTCCTAATAGTAGGAATAGAAAGTACAAAAGTATTATTCAATATAAATATTAATAATTTCTATTTAATTATTAATTTTAGAGTAAATAGAAGAGGAAAACTTCTATTTAATACTTAGTAAGTAGTAAAACTCTTACTAAAAAGTAGCAACGAATTAAATACCTTAGTTAAAGATAATAAAGTCCAGTATATTATAAAAATAATAAATTTCGCATAGGAAGGCCGCAATAATCGTTTTAATTAATAAATTATAAATACTAATATAATAGCGTATTTTTATTAGGCGGTTAATAATAATTATTATATAAGTATAAATATAACCGCTTATTTTTATTATTAGGAGGGGGCTAATAAAGTCGATAGAAATATTGGATTAGTTACGAAAAGGGATTAATAATAATTCGAAGAAATTAGGGGGTACGAAGTAGGAGTTCTTTATTTGTATATGGAAATAGTAGCTTTAAATAAAGATAATTATATTATAAGAAAGGTTTGGCTATATATAAATCCGCTAAATAAGGTTATAGGTTTTAAATCGTTTAAAGTACCTATTTAGGGCGGAATTGTAAATATACTATAGAATTTAGAGCCTAACTTTAAAGTAAAGGGGAATAAAAGTCCTATTTCTAATTAAAATCCTATTATAAATTACCCTATAATTAATTATAATTACGCTAATAATTTTCTATAGCTATCTTAGAAACGCATTACAATTAGGGTTTTAAAGTATTATAAGGGTTATTAAGGATTTTAAAAAAGTTAAGTAAATTGTATTAATATAATTATTAATAGGAGATTTAGTATTGAGGATGAAGAATTTTATTAGCGTTAACCTATCTATAATATTATTAGAATTCTATTCCTCGATTTAATTTTCTTTAAATAGGAATATATATATATAATTAATAATCTAATTATTACTTATATTCCGTTTATCGGCCGGAATACTACTAGGGAGGCGTAAAAGCGTATTAGGGACTATAGCGTAGGCTCTAAGGCGGTAAATAATTTTAAAGTAAAAATTACTAAGGAATTCGAATTATTTAATTTACTACTAATTAAGGAGTTTCGTAAAGGTAAAGTATTATAAATTTCTATAGTTTATAACGACTTCGACCGGCTCTTTCGTACTTTAAAACTTAGAACGCTATTCTTTAAAAACCTTAATAATAATAAATAATTTTTTATTATAAATCTTATAGTTATATTTAGCCAGAGAATATTTAAAGGAGAAGAAAGCGAAAGGGTAGTATTTCCCTTCCTTATTAATTTAAAATAGGACGCCCTTAGAAGCTTAATTTAATACGTCTATTTTAATAATAATTTTTTAATTAGGGTTTTAATAGGCGAAAATTAATACCGAAATAAAAATAACTTTTAATTGTTCGAATATAACTATAAGGCCAGAGGTAGGGGTAAAGTTTATTTATCTTTAAATATTAATATAATTAAGGGTTAAACAATTTTCGAAAAACTTTTAATAAAATAGTAATAAAAGTTTATAAAATTAATAAAACGCTAGAAATTTTTTAATATTTTAGGGGCGCCCTAATTAAATATAATATTTACTTTCTCCGGGTTTATATAAAGACTATCCTAGGAAATAATTAAATTTAAATATTTAGTTTTATACTTATAGAATTCGTACTTATAAATATCTATAATAAAGCCCGCTTTATAGAAGCGAAAAATAATATTTTCGAAATAGTATTTATATTCTACCTTTATTTCGCTATAAATAAGAACGTTATTTAAATAGGTAATAATATATTTATTAGGGACGTTGAATAGGACGTAATTAATATAGTATTAAAAAGAGGCAGGGGTGTTTATTATATTAAAATTCGCAACGAAGTATTCGAATAGGCCGAATTTAATAATAAAGGCTATTTTCTATTCGTCCCTAGAAGTAACCCGTAGCTAATTAAAGGCTACTATAATATTAAATTTATTAAATTACTTTATTTTTTAAAGGGCGTCGATAGTTTTTCTAATAAGGGAAATAGGGTATTTATTCTTAATAGTAGTATTATTTAACCCTCTATAATTAATATAAATATAAATACCTCCGCCCGGCTTTTTAATTAGTAGAACCAGAACGGCTACTGGGGAAGAATTTAAATAAATAAAACCGGTAGTAAAATAATTATTTAAATATTTATAGATAGCTTAGAGTTTTTTTTAGAATATAGGGTAGGGGCGGTAGTAAAAGGGGGTTTATCCTAGGATTAAATCGATCTTATAGTCGAAAGGGCGGTATAATAGTATTATTTTAATAATATTAGGGTCGAAGGCCTTCTACTTTCCCTAGAAGTATTTAGGAAGGGCCGTAAAAATCTCCTACTAGGTCGGTAACAATTTACTATTAATATATTTCTAAATTTCCTTTACTAAAATAGTTTAGAACTATAATTCCTTTACTACCTAATTCCTATAGTTAATAATCGGCTAAGAAAGAAATTATATAATTAATTAATTCTAAAAGACTATTCGGAACGTAACGTTGTTGAGGTAGTAAAAAAATTAATTAGAATTAATTAAATTATTAAATCCGAAACTAGGAGGTTCTTTTATTTATACTTTAGTAAAGTAATAGAGTTAGTCTAATATATACCAGTAGACCTCTATACTAGACTCTTTATATAAAAGAATAAAATTAATAGTAAATAAAATACGGATGAAAGTATTCTAAGGCTAAATACGGTTATTTAGGCGTATATTAATAGTAAGTAATAATTTACTTCTAATTAGGGAATAGGGGTAAAATAGTTTTAATTTCGTAGTAGGCCGGAATTTATCCCGGGGGATAAGCTTTATAAATTATATAATTATTAGAAGGTTAATTTTAGTAAATTTAAAGTTTAAAGGGGTATATTAAGTAAAGTCGAACAGGGCCGGCGCTTTAATAGTAATAAAACCTAGTAATTCTATAAATTTATTAAATTAATCAATCGCTAAATTATACTTCCTTAATTAAGAGAAGCCGAGGATTATATTTAGACCGCTAAATAATTAAATAAATAAAGTAAAACGGTCCGTAAATAAATTAATAAAGTAAGATAAAATATAAACATATAAAATTTCGCCTCTTTTTTAACTATTAATTAATTAGAGGGTATAAAGTTAGGAGAATAATATTATAAGGATATTATAATAATATACGAAAGAGGAATTAATAAAATTTATTAGGGAATAACCGGAGTTAATTATAATAGAATAAAGGACTAAGGAACCGGTACCGAAACGAAGCGAATTCAAAAAAGAGAAATTAGTATTAGATCTTATAAAATGTAAATATAAATCCTCTAAATCCTTCGAATTATACTTCTAATAGCAATTTATATTAGAGGTTAAATTTTTCCTACCTCTTAAAGGGGGGTAGAAGCAATAATAAAGCTAGTAGGCTTTAATTTAATTTTCGCTATATATATTATTGTATAATAGTTAGGGGTACTATAATATATATATAAATTAAACTTGTAGCGTTAGTCCTTTTTAATTTAAAAGATAGGGCCCTTCTAAAGAGCGCCTACTTTATTAAAGATTATAGGGTCGCCGACGTTTATAGTAGGGGGGGGGGGCTATAATAATATTAAAAAGCTACTACTTTAATACTAGTAATTATTAATATTATTAATTAAAACCCGGAGGAATTCGACCTACGTAATAAAATTATTAGCCATCAAGCGTATTATAATAATAATTAAAGTATTTTGGAAGGGGTTATTAATTTTAGACTTAAATATATTAATATAACGCTAGCCGTCGAATTTATATTAATTAGCTAGTTTAATAAAAGTCATAATAAAATTAACGAACAATATACTACCCTATTTAAAACGGTCCATTTTCTATACTATTTTAGTATAAATATTTAAAGTACTATAATAAGAATTAAAATAAATAAAAATATCCTAGAAATTAAAAAGCCTAATTAATTAAACCGAAGTATTATAGAAGTTAAGCATAATAATATTAACCTTAGCCCGAATATAGGTATAAATATTACTGGAAAGGCGTTAAAAAATATAAAAAATATAGTTAGTTAGGGTTAGGTAGGTAGCGAAATCGAATATAAATTTAATAATTAATTAGGATTATTAATTAATATATTCTTCCTAATATTTAAATAAGGATATTTTAATACTATTGAATATTAAGGGTTCAGCCCTATATAAACAGATAGTAACGGAAGTATATATAATTTACTAAAATTAGTATACTATTACTATAGTATTACTATTCTACTACTGAGTATAATTTTTAATTTTAGTAAATTATTACTATATTTATTAAACTTATATAATTATAGTAGCGGCCTCCGCTATAATTTTAATAAAGTCCTACTATATTTAAAAAGCGGTTATAAAGTTCTAAATTATAGTATACTAAATTTAATTAACTATTTATTAGGCCTTTAAAGCCTCCTACCGGGTAATATAAAACTTACTATAGGCCCTACCGAAATATTCTTTAATAAATGTAAAGTAGAGTTAAAGTTAGGTAAGAATATTAAAATCTACTTCTAAAATAGAAGTAAAGTTAGAAAGATCCTTAAAGAGGTTTTTAACTACTTTATAAATAAAGGAGAGAATATTAGGATAAAAGAGAATACGGACTATTACTTTGCGAACGGGCGCTATATTAAAATTAAATATAATTATATATAATAAACTTATAAAATCGTTTATAATTTAATTTAAAATTATAATATAAGAATAATAATAGTATAAAGTATAAAGAGAAGTATTAAAAGTATTAGGGCTAAATTAGCTATATAGTCGGGGGTGTTCTATAAGTAGCGTAATAGTAATAAAATATAGTAGTAATATCAAAATAATAAATCTAAGGGGTTTTTTAAAGGATAATTATAATAAAGTAGGATTAAATTGTAAGTATAACGTAATTAGGCTAGGACGGGGCGAAGTTAGTACCGATTTTAAAATTAAATCGAGGTAAAACGATTTTAATTATTAGGTTATTAATTAGTAGAAAAGGTATAATATACTATTATAATACTGACTAGAAGGGACTTAGAGAAGATGTAATATTGTACGAAGAGGAGAATATTAAAAGAGAGTAGCGAAAATTCTACTCTCGGACTATATATATAAGCTAAGTGGAGGTATAATTAAGGGACGGCTAGACTTTAGTACCGGGACGCTAAGGGTGCTAAGTTATATTATTCAGTATTGTAATATAAAGCTTATTCTAAAGGATCTTCTTAAATACTGTTTAGAGGACGGGCCTAAGGTAGTAATGTTATATTATAATTTTTTAACTTTAATTAGTTTTTTAAATAATAAAGAAACCCTATAATATTCTCCTAATACTTAATATTAGCTAGGAACTTAATTATAGGCTAGCTTACGCCTTAACCTCTATAATTATATATATTACTATACTTAATAAAAGTTATTTAAAAATAATATACTATAGAAAAGTATTAAAATAAAAATTCTAATATCCTTCCTATAGAATTGAGCCTTATAATAAATATAAAGTCTTCTAATTAAACTTACTTTATAATTATATACCTAATTACAAGTATATAACCTACTATATAACCCTTATATACGGTCGCAAGCTTGGTTATAGGCGTATAACTCTCTAAATAAATATTATTAAGCGACCCTATACCTAGCTATAAACGTATAACCCTCTAAATAAATATTATTAAGTAACCCTATACTTAGCTATAAGCGTATAACTTTCTAAATAAGTATTATTAAGCGACCCTATACTTAGCTACAAGCGTATAACCCTTTAAATAAATATTATTAAACGACCCTATACTTAACTATAGGCGTATAATCCCCTAAACGGACCCTACTAAACGACCCTATATACAGTCGCAAGCCCGGCTATAGGTATATAACCCCCTAAACGGACCCTACTAAATAACCCTATATATAGTCGTAAGTCCGGTTATAGGTATATAACCCCCTAAATAGACCCTATTGAGTAACCTTATATATAGTTGCAAGCCCGGCTATAGGTATATAACCCCCTAAATAAACCCCGCTAAACGACTTTATATATAGCCGGTCGCTCTTACTCTAGCCGGTCGCTCTTACCTTCCTTCTTATATACCTTACAACTTCTAGTTTAGAGAAGGTGCGGGTAGACGGTGTTGTGAGGCATTCTTAGTAGATACCTAAATACTCTATCTTGTTATAGCAGCTGCTTACTAGAGCGTATAGTTTGTTATATAAGAGTGTTCGTTCTATTAACCTCTATTAAGGTTAATAGATTATTAATTAATATTATACTAACCTTACATCTATCTTACTTATATTTAGTAAAGTTGTATACAAGGTCCTAGGTTGAGGCTTGTAATAGTTCTTATTTTCAATTTCCTTTAATAAGATTATTATTAATCGTTATATACTATTGCTCTATCTAGTAATTAGTTATTTACTTTATTATTTTCTATTATTATTACTAATAAAGTATATCTTCGTATAATAAATAGTACCTATAGTTTAGTTTCAAACCGGCCTTATTATTTCTTACGTTTCTTACTTTCATTGAGGGGGGAGATACGTTAGGTCTAATAATAATTTATTAGACTTATTAACTATTATTTAACTTTTGCCCTTTTAAACTAAGTATTTATATTTTTTACTTCTTTAGTAATCCCCTTTCTTTACTACTTTATTACTATTTGATTAAGTTTAAAGGTTAAACTAAATAATATTAAAGATTGACTAAGTAGACCCCTAAATAG